GGGGGGGGGGGTTAATTCATCATTGCCTACATCTTCCTTCTGTTGAAGTCTAAGAGTTCAACCCTCACTCTACCAGACTGAAACTCAATGACTGACACTAAACAACAACCAACATTTATTACATAAACAAAAAAATCGAAAAATCTACAAAAAGTCGAAAAAAAAATTGCAAAAATGGTTTTGAAGTTATCGTCGGTAAAGGATTGTGAATTGATGCTATTGAATGTTTAAGAAATTTCGAAAAACTGCTAAAATATTACTACTACTGAAACTTGAAATTGAAACTTTTGATATTGATGCTATTTGAGAATTTTTTAACGATCGAGTATTACATTGAAAGAATGACAAAAGATTGAAACCGAGAAAGATACACAGTAAGAAAGTACCACAAAGAAAAGAAGCAACCAAGAAACAAAGTTTAACAAGAAGCAACCAAGAAACAAAGTTTAACAAGAAGCAAACCAAGCACCAAGCAAAATGAACACTTACAACTTATGGCGGAAAAAAAACGAAAAACTATACAACTTATGGCGGAAAAAACAAATGACTATTGAACAACAACAAAACATTACTTACTACTTATGGCGGAAAAAAAAAATACTCAAAACCAAACCGAATTGTGATATTTTAACTTACTTAAGTGCTGAAGAATGAATGCTACAACCTAAATTTAGGTATACACAGAAAACTGGATTGTCTTATGTTTGTTTTATGATGCTAATCATACTACAGACCTTGAAAAGTGAATAAACCGGAATTGACATCTCTAATGATGGCAGTTATTTTATTCTTGTTTTCCCATCAGGCGTTCTTTATATGATCGTTCAACAATGTTTAAGAACGTTGATTTTTCAGTTCTTCTTCATGGGGGGGCAGTGCAAGTTGGCGGGGCTAGGACGGCTCTAGTCCCTCAAAGCGAATACATAATAGTGAGGGGGGCGGGGGCGGGAGGAAGGAAAAGCTCCCGCGTTTTGGCGCCGTAATTAACGAACTACCTGCATTAAACTGGTTTATGAAAATATTCCACCTCGTGATCAGTTAACAAAACGTTTTTTAGGATTGCATTCTAATACTTGGTGAAAAAAAAATATGTTTTAGAAATTGTTTTCTTATGCATGGCCACAGATCGATTACAAACACACTAGACACTTTTAGTCTTTCCCAGTGGCATGTTTGTGCTGCAAGCAAATGAAATTTGGAGAAAATTTAGAAATGCTATGTGAATAGTTGTGTATGCTTGGCAACTGCAAAATCCAAGGAAACAGTAATTCATACTTCTGAGGTTAATTATCTTTCTACACCTCTACATGTTTGTGCGTTTATTTACATTTTCCAAATAGTCGAGTTCTTTTCAAAACAGGCATTTTTCACAAATTTCACATTTCTCGCACGTTACAGTATGAACCCTAAGATAATATGTGATAGTGATGTCTGACCATCTTGGTGAGAGTAGTCCTGGGAAGGACAGTTGTTGGTTTAAGTGACTGACGTTCCACAACCTGAGCGGAAGTGATCATCAGTCTTGACCAACATTTCAGATCTTTCATTCTTCATATAAAAGCAGCGCGCGGGTTAATACACTTGCAAACAGTTCACTATAAAATAAGCATACCGCATGGGACGCTTATTTTCAGTGCGATGTCACGAACGACCAAGATTTTCTCTTCTTTTGTAACTATAAAGAAAACGTTTGATTAGTTGCATCAAAATTTTGAACGCAGACTTTTTTCTCATCAGACTTACTGCTCGGAAAATGAAGGAGTATCACTTGAGAACTATGACCGAATACCTCTCGATCGTAAAATCTTCAACGAGTATTACACTGTCATAGTGTTTATACTCGCCTAGAGTTCACGGTTGTTTTGGAGTGCAGTTACGTCTGTAACCGCACATACGTCATTAGTCCGCCCCTAATATGGTGTGGTGAGTATAAAAAGTCAGTCATGCAATCGCTTGGCACAAAATTTGCGTACAGTGGTAATGCAAGAATCATTACAAACACAGGTTAAGTTAACGTATGTGTTAATGAACTTAAGTTTTAAAGGTAAAATGATTTTCATGTCTTCGAATCTGAATGAGGAAGATCTTCGCCAGCTTCGTTATTATTTAGAAGGATTCATACCGGTTAATAGCTGTTCCGATGCTATGGATATAGTACGATTACTAGAGAATGATGGAAGGATTTCGTGGGAAAATGTTAAATTCATCAAGAAAGCCATGGAAAGTATTAGAAGACAAGATATTGTTAAAGAGTTAACGAAGTTTGAAATAAAGAGAAATTTGACCCTCCTGTTGGATTTCTATACCAAGAACGTTAATGGATTGGATTCAAACTTCTGCGAGAATAAATTAGGAATGAAAATGATAGCTTCGCGCTTACAGAAGATAATGGATACTGCTCGAGAGAGTGTTAACGTCAGAAACATAAGCTCGACTGTTGAATCCAGCAGAGATTTAAAGAAAGTACTGATGACCATAGAGGAGAAGCTGGATGAAGAACCATCGTTATCATGGAATGACTTTACTATGCTTGTAATTCTTGCTGGAGAAATCATAGCGATCGCTTCCGCTGATGAAGAACAACAAGAGTCATTGTTAGAGCTCTGTACAACTGCTGCCGATGAGCTCTGCTCTCGAATGAATGATCTGGGAACCTGGGTAAGATTGTAGTTCAAATGTTATACCTTGAGTATCGCTCATTGTTCATCGAAATGCATGTTTGTGTGTTGGCTTATTTTGTTTCGGTGTACAATCAGTTCTGTGTTTAAAAATTCTGGCGTTGTAGAACGCACTACATAATTAATCAGCCTTTGAATGGAAATGATTGGTTGAAATTCAACACATGATCAAAGATTTCGAAAGTGATAGGAAGATCCGTCTTCTGACCGGAAGTCAAGCAGTGTGCATAGCCATTTTGAGAAGAAAATATCAACGAGAATTACTTCGCCGAATAACACAGAACATCAATTGGTAATCTCTTGCTATAAAATCATTGTACAGGAAATTAATGGCGGAAGTCGTTCTACAGATATGCTGTCAAAATAAATACGGATGACCCAGCTTCCCTTCATGCTCTCCTTCGATGTATTTATAGTTGTCTTAATAGACACGTTCAAAAATATCAGAACGAAGTCGTAGACGTTTCAAGTTTCAAGTTGAATTTCTTCGATTTGTCATGAAGTGCAATTGTCTTCATTGACTCTTCACGCATGAGGAGCCCATGACATATGAAACNCTGACCGAAAGTCAAGCAGTGTGCATAGCCATTTTGAATGGAAATGATTGGTTGAAATTCAACACGTGATCAAAGATTTCGAAAGTGATAGGAAGATCCGTCTTCTGACCGAAAGTCAAGCAGTGTGCATAGCCATTTTGAATGGAAATGATTGGTTGAAATTCAACACGTGATCAAAGATTTCGAAAGTGATAGGAAGATCCGTCTTCTGACCGAAAGTCAAGCAGTGTGCATAGCCATTTTGAATGGAAATGATTGGTTGAAATTCAACACGTGATCAAAGATTTCGAAAGTGATAGGAAGATCCGTCTTCTGACCGGAAGTCAAGCAGTGTGCATAGCCATTTTGAGAAGAAAATATCAACGAGAATTACTTCGCCGAATAACACAGAACATCAATTGGTAATCTCTTGCTATAAAATCATTGTACAGGAAATTAATGGCGGAAGTCGTTCTATAGATATGCTGTCAAAATAAATACGGATGACCCAGCTTCCCTTCATGCTCTCCTTCGATGTATTTATAGTTGTCTTAATAGACACGTTCAAAAATATCAGAACGAAGTCGTAGACGTTTCAAGTTTCAAGTTGAATTTCTTCGATTTGTCATGAAGTGCAATTGTCTTCATTGACTCTTCACGCATGAAGAGCCCATGACATATGAAACAAGCCATAACAGAGAAACAATACAAAGTTTTAGGAGGCGAAACGATTCAGTCTAAGTGAACGGAAAGCGGATATAAAGATATATTTCTACTAAAAAATCGCTATAAGAATTGGGGTAAAGATAATCCAAACGGAAATCAGCACAGGTATTACGACGATTAATCGTGCAGAAGGGTTTCAAACAGCTTCTTTGCTAATAAAGATTTTGCATGGCAGCTATGTTGCATGGCAGGAAAAATGATAATATTTTGCATGAGAGAGAAAATTTTTTTCCATGTGAAAAATAACCTATTGTTCCTGCCATGCAACATGGCTGCTGTGCAAAACCTCTATACCACGGTATTAGCTACTTCTGCTACCAGGAAGAGTCCACTTCACCTTTGCATAAAGCACGCATGGCAGGCGCTGAAAACATTTGAAACATAGACAACGTAATTGTATTGTAATAACAGAAAGATGGTACACTATTTTCCACGTGCGCATGAGTATTAATGTAATCGGATCAGATGCCTGTCAAGTGTAGTTGTTTTAGCTGCTTGCCTTCCATGGATTACCTTTAATTCCCTATTACGTTTACTCTTAACTTTTTTTAGCCTTCGAACACATTGGGGTCTTCATGTTGAGTAATCCCATTATAAAAATATAAATGGCTTTCTATATATGCTCATTTAAAGTTTTCTTTTTTTTTTTTTTACATCCACGGCCAGTTTTATGGCCTGTATGATGGAAATCTCCATGTTCGTAGGCTTTTGTTATTCACTTTGCCACTCTTCAGAGATAGAAATCATAAATTCATGATAAGACCTATAAGTTATCTTTCCCTTGGTCTGGTTGCCAAGAAACACAAAACAATCTTAAATCAAGCAAAAAGTAACAACCTTTTCTTATTTAGATTCCAATAATCAGTCCTTAGGGTGGATTCAAATTCTGTACTGAGAGACTGCATGTTCATGTACAAACAGAGTTCTTGTTATATCTATTTTATATTCTATTTTACTTTCTAGGAAGATTTTAAGAATCATGTTAAG